GTGGCGATCTGCGCCTCGAGCAGGCGGATGCCGTGATCCCTGACGATCAGCTCCTGCTTCATGGCCTGGAACAGGGATATTTTTTCCCCGGTGTAGGGGTGGGTGTAGCCCGTCACGGCTCTCTCGGCCGACAGAAGTTTGTTTTGCAGTTCGCTTCCCACCAGCCCGGACGACACCGCCTCGTCCACCGACAGCTTCTGGTTGGTGACGGGGTCGATGACGAAGCCGGTGGCCGCCTGTGCCTCCAGCAGCACCAGGGCCGTGCCCTGCCTCAGGATTCCTTTCYGCATGGCCTGGTAGATGCTCATCTTCTCCATYTTYYCRGGSTCGGCTTTGGAGGGCACCAACACGCCGGCGATGCTCCCCGTTCCCTCCAGGTATCTCCTCACACTCTCTCTTTGTGCAATTTCTTGCGCCGTCTCTTTCCCTTCCTGGAGCTTTTCCATGGTTTCCTCTGTAATTATTTGCGCGCTGAGCAGTTCTGACGCTGTTATTTGCTGGCGGATTCCCTGAAACCAGACATCGCTCCTGTCCTCTTCCTTCTCTCTGATGATCTTCAGGATCGCCTCAATTATTCCTTGGACAATGTGCTGGGATTCTGTTTTGTATTTTTTCACCAGTTCTTTTCTYTCCTCCTCCGTGACGTACTCGGAGCAGAGAAGTTCCCACAGCGATAACACCTGCCCCTTGTATTTCCCCACAGGCACCTGCACCTTTGTGCACACCAGGGCGTTTTTCGTTTGCTCGTCGATGTAGAAATAATCCCCTTCCTTTTCYAGGACCTGCAGCAGGTACGAGCCGCTCTCGCCGTCCTTGGCGCACCTCTGCAGGAGCTGGCCGTAACTGATCTTCTCCCGAGTGTTGGGATCTATAAATCCTTTGCTGCCGTGGTCTGGATCCGAAAGCAGGAGGAACGTGTCCTCGTCAAGGTGGCCGCGTTTGTAGGCCACCTCCACCGGCAGCCGGTGGCCATGCCCGGGATCCACAATGCCACCAGTGGCAAGCTGAGCCTCGAGCAGGCGGATTCCGTGATCTCTCACTACTATTTTCTGTTTTATAGCCTGGAAGAGGGATATTTTATTTCCCGTTTGAGGGTGGGTGTAGCCCGTCACGGCTTTCTCTGCTGACAACAGCTGCTCGTGCAGCTCGGCGCCCACCAGCCCGGACGACACCGCATCATCCACGGAGAATTTTTGGTTGTTCTGTGGGTCAATCAGGAATCCGGTGGCCGCTTGTGCCTCCAACAGCCCCAGCGCGCATTGCTCGGTGAGGAATCCCTTTTTCAGCGCCTGGTACACGCTCATCTTCTCCTTCCTCGACGGGAGGAAAACCCCGGCGATGCACCCRGTGCCCTCCAGGTACCTTTGGATGGTTTCCCTCTTCATGAGGCTGGCGAGCGTCAGAGTCCCATCCTGCAGCTGATCCAGAGTTTTCTTGTCGATTATCTCCGAGTTGAACAGCTCCGACACCGACACCTCCCCCCGCAGCCCTTTGACCTTGAGAGCTTCTCCTCTTCGCTCGGTGTCCTCGATGATTTTTAAGATGAGGGATATCAGGTCTTCCACCGTTAGGGTTTTGCTTTTGTACTGCATCGCCAGCTCTTTCCTTTTCTGCTCCGAGACGTAGTGCGAGCAGAGGATTTCCCAGATGGAAACCGTTTGGTCCTTAAACTTCCCAACTTTCACCTGGAGCAGCTTTGAGCGCAAAGCCTGTTTTGTGGACTCATCGATGTAGAAATATTTCCCTCCTTCTTTTACAACTTGCAGCATGTACAGCCCCGTTTCTGGGTCCTGGACACACCTCTCCAGGAGCTGCATGTAGGTCAGGTTTTCGTGGGTGTTGGGGTCGAAAAAGCCTTTGGTGTCATCGCTGGGGTCGGAGAGGATTTGGTTCATGTCCTGGTTGAAATAACCGCGTTTGTAAGCCACCTCCACGGGGACACGGTGGCTGTGCACGGGGTCGATGATTCCACCGGTGGCGATCTGCGCCTCGAGCAGGCGGATGCCGTGGCTCTTCACAATCAGCCCTTGGTTCATGGCCTCGAACAGCGACATTTTTTCTTTGGTGTAGGGATCGGTGTAGCCCGTCACGGCTCTCTCGGCGCACAGCAGCTTCTCATAAATCTCCCCTCCGATCAGCCCCGCCTCCAACGCTTCCTCCACCGAAAACTTCTTGTTTTTCTCGGGGTCGATGATGAAGCCGGTGGCCGCCTGTGCCTCCAGCAGCACCAGGGCGGTCCCTGGCCTCAGGATTCCTTTCCACATGGCCTGGTAGATGCTCATCTTCTCATTGCTCGGCTGTATCAGAACCCCCGCTATGAAATTTGTCCCCTCCAGGTACCTGCGCACAGACTCCATTTCAGTCACTTCYTTGACCGTTTTCTTGCCCTGGTGGAGCTCATCGAGGGTTTTTTTGTCTATGAGCTGGGACTGGAAGAGGTCACTGGCGGACACTCTTTTCCTCAGGCCTTTGAACGCGAATTTCTTGCCTTGCGCCTCGGTCTCTTGGATGATGGCGGTGATAATCGTCGTGATTTCCTGCAGCACTTCGGTCTTCTCCTCTTTGTACTTTTGCACCAGCTCCCTTCTCTTGCTGTCCGAGAAGTACTCGGAGTTGAGGAGGTCCCAGACGGACACGGTCTGCCCTTTGAACCGCCCCACGTTGACRCAAACCGTCACAGACTTCAGCACCTTCATGGTCTGCTCATCCACGCAGAACATCGCGTTTTCCGACAGAGGGAGGAGCCACATCCCCGACTCGGCCTCGCGAATGCACCGCTCCTTCAGCTGCTCGTAGGTCACGTTCTCCTTGGTGTTCGGGTCGAAAAAGATCTTGGTGTTGTCATCCAGCCGAGAGAGGGTTTGGTTCAGCTCCTCGTCGTAGAAGCCGTACCTGCAGGCGGCCTGGAGCGGCAGGTGGAGGTGGTGGACGGGATCGATGACCCCTCCTGTGGCCAGCTGAGCCTCCAGCAAAGGCACGGCCTCCGTCAGGGGGACGAGCTCCTTCCTGAGCGCTTGGCACAGGGAGATGGAGCTCCCGGTGTAAGGGTCGGTGTAGCCCGTCACAGCCCTCTCGGCCAGGAGCAGCTTCTCCGTCAGCTCTTCCCCGACAACAGCCGCTCTCACGGCGTCCTTCACGCCCAGCCTCCGGTTCGTCGCGGGGTCTGTCAGGTATCCCGTGGCTGCCTGAGCCTCCAGMAGCCTCACGGCAACCCCGGGGAGGAGGAGATTGTTCTTCATGGCCTCGTAGAAGCTCATCTTCTGTTTGGTGGCCTCGATGAAGACGCCGGCGATGCTGCCYGTGCCCTGCAAGTAATTCTTCACGCTCTCCATCGCAGCCACTTCTTCGGGAGTTTTTACGCCCCGGGCCAGCTCTTCAAACGTCCTCTCAGAAATGATGCCCGTGTCCAGCAGCCAGACCACGGGGACGCTGCCCCTCAGGCCTTGCAGGGAGATCTGGGTCTTGGCTTTCATCTCCATCTCCCCCACCAGCCTGAGCACCAGAGCCACCAGCTGCTCCAGCGACAGCTCCTSCGAGCGGAATTTCTCCGTCAAGTCGCTCCTCTGCTCCTCGGTGAAATACCCCGAGTGCATCAGCTCCCAGAGGGAGACTCCTCTTTCCTTCACCGCGGTTTCCTTGAAAATCCGCTGGATTTGCTCGTCGGTGTAGGCGGGAGCTGCTGTTTGAGCCAGAGGCAGCAAGTGGAAGCCGGAGACGTCGTCCTTCTGGCAGCGCTGGATGAGCTCGGCGTAGGTGACGCTCTCTTTGCTATCCGGGAGGCAGAAGGCTCTGTGGTCATCGCTGGGCTCGGAAAGGGCTTTGCTGGTGTCCTCATCCAGGCACCCTCTCCGCTGGGCCGACTCGAGGGGGATGTAGTGGCCGCACGCCGGGTCGATGATGCCTCCCGTGGCCACCTGCACCTCCATGAGCTGCATGGCCTGCTTGTCGGCGATCAGCCCCTTCTTCATGGCCTGGAAAAGGGGGATCTTCTTGCCCGTGAAAGGGTCTTTGTACCCGGTCACGGCCCCTTCTGCCTGCTGCAGCTTCTCGTGGACGTCCGGCCCGATGACCCCCTCCTTGACCGCCTCGTCCACGCGCAGCTTCTGGTTCTTGACGGGGTCRATGATGAAACCCGTGGCAGCCTGAGCCTCCAGCAAGGGTAAAGCAACTCCTGGCACCACRATATTCTGCTTCATGGCCTCGTAAATGCTCATCCTCTGGTTGGACGGCTGCAGCACGATGCCCCCGATGCTGCCCGAGCCGTAGAGGTATTTCCTGACCGAGTCCATGTGCAGGACCTGCTCGGGGCTGACGGATCCCTCCAGCACCTTCTCAAACATTTCCCGGTCGATGACGCCCGTTTCCATCAAGTGGTAAGCGCTGACGCTGCCTCTCATGGCCGGGAACTTGATGGGAGCCCATTTCTTCATCTCCTCCTCCAACATGAGCCGGATTTGCTCCAGGCTGAGCTTCCTCAGCTGGAAATGGTTGAAAATCTCCCGGCGCCTCCCTTCGCTGAAATACTCMGAGTTGAGCAGATCCCAAAAAGAGACTTTTTCACCCCGTAAGCGCCCAAACCTGACGGGCAGCCAGGAGCTCCTGAACACCTCTCTGGTGGATTCRTCGACGAACTGACGCTTCTTGCTGTTGAGAGGGAGGAGGCAGAGCCCCGTGGACGGCTCCGTGATGCATTTCTCCTTCAGCTGCAGGTACGTCAGGTTCTCGTGGGTGTTGGGGTCGAAGAAGCCCTTGGTGTCRTCGCCGGGGTCCGACAGGATTAAATTCATCTTCTTGTCGAAGTAGCCGCGCTTGTAAGCCACCTCCACGGGGATGCGGTGGCTGTTGACGGGGTCGATGATGCCGCCGGTGGCGATTTGTGCCTCGAGCAGGCGGATGCCGTGRTCCCKGACGATCAGCTCCTTCTGCATGGCCTGGAACARGGAGATTTTATCCCCCGTGTAAGGATCCCKGTAGCCGGTGACGCATTTCTCCGCMGCCAGCAGCTTGTCGTAAACATCGGGACCGATGACGTTTGCCCGCAAAGCCTCGTCCACGGAATATCTCTTGTTGGCGGCGGGGTCAATGACGAACCCGGTGGCTGCCTGAGCCTCCAGGAGGATCAGAGACGTTCCCGGCCTCAGGAGTCCTTTCCGCTTTGCCTGGTAGATGCTGATTTTCTCCTGAGAATCAGGGAGCAGCAGCCCCCCGATGCTTCCCGTGCCCTGCAGGTACTTCCTGACCGTGTCCATGCTGACCACCTCTTTGGCCGACGTCTCTCCCTCCTTGAGCTTCTTAAAAAGGTCTTTGTTGATAATTTCCGAGCTCAGGAGCTGGTCAGCCGTCACCTGGTCCCTCAGACCCTTGAAGGTGACATTGGCAGTGGCAGCTTTTTCCTCRACGGCGGCTCTGATGGCCTCTCCCAACCCTTGCAGGGAGAGCGTTCCCTCCAGGAACCGCCGAGCCAGGGCGGCTCTTTGCTCACCCTCGATGTAATCGGAGAAGAGAAGTTTCCACAGAGACACYGATTTTCCCTTGAATTTCCCCGCAGAAATGGGGACTTTTGTGTTTTCCAGAGCGTTCTGCGTGCTGTGGTCGAGGAAGGGGAGCGTTTTTTKGGATTTGACGCCGTCCCCTCCGAGCGGCAGCAGCAGCAGCCCCGTGCGCGGATCGGTGACGCAGCGCCGGAGCAGCTCCGCGTAGCTCAGCTTCTCCTCGGAGCCGGGGTCAAAAAAACCCTTCACCTCATCGGGAGGGCTGAGGAGGAGCTGCCTGGTGGCCTCATCCAGGTGTCCCCACTCGCAGGCGGTCTCCGTGGGGACACGGAGGTGACGTCCCGGGACGATCACACCCCCCGTGGCCACCTGAGCCTCCAGAAGGCAAAGCCCGTGATCCCTGGGGACAAAACCCTTCCTGATGGCTTGGAACAGAGACAGCATTTCCCCGGTGGATGGATCCTTATATCCAGTGATGGCTTTCTCAGSCGAAGACAGTTTTTCATAAAGCTCCGGGCCGATCAGCCCGACCCTCACAGCCTCATCCACSGAGTAGTTTTTATTTTTTTGGGGGTCTGTCAGGCTGCCGGTGGAGGCCTGGACTTGCAGGAGCATCAGAGCAGCTCCAGGCACCAGGAGATGCTCCCTCAGCGCCTGGTAAAGGCTTTTCCGCTCCCCGGAAGGCAAAACCACGCCGGCCACGCTCCTGGTCCCGCGCAGGAAATGCTGAACGATTTCATTCTCCGCCACCTCCTGGGCAGAGATTTTCCCCTCCTCGAGGCCTCGGAAGACGTCAGCGCTGATGATTCCCGAGTCCATCAGGTCCCTGCTGCTCACCCTCCCTCGCAGCCCCGGGAATGTGATTTGCAGCGGCAACAGGAGGAAGCCCGAGGCTGGATCCACCACGCACCTCTTCCTAAGCTCGGAGTAAGCGATTTTCTCCGTGGTGCTGGGATCAAGGAACACTTTGCTGTCCTCGCTGTTGGGATCAGAGACGAGCTGGCTCATCTCCTCATCCAAAAATCCCCTCTCACAAGCCACGTCCACCGGGAGCCGGCCACCGGTGGCCGGGTCGATGACACCTCCGGTGGCCACCTGRGCTTGGAGCAAGCGGACTCCCTGCTCCTTTCCCACCAGCTCCTTCTGGATRGCCTGGTAGAGCGGGATTTTCTCCTCGGTGTAGGGATCCACAAAACCCGTGGCGGCTCTTTCTGCCGACAGCAGCCTCTCCTTCAGCTCCAGCCCCACCAGCCCCGCGCGCACGGCTTCTGCCACCGYGACCCGACAGCTCCTCACGGGGTCAGAAATAAATCCCAGGGCTGCCTGAGCCTCCAGGAGGTGCAGAGCCAAATCCAGGCTCAGCAGGTGCTCCCTGGTGGCCTCATAAAAGCTCATGATTTTCTTGGAGGCCTCCACGAAGACGCCTGCGATGCTGCCGGCCGTTTCCAGATGTGGCACATCCCTGCCGGGTGATTTTTGCTGTTTGAGAGGCGTCACGTCCTGGAACGAGCGGTTTGTCCCCGGAGAGCCGGGAACAGCGTGGCCGTTCACTGCTGGCTTGAGGAATTCAGTGAATTCACTCTCCATCCTCCCGCAGCTCTCAGGATTCTGGAGAAAGAGAGAGAGAGAGAGAAGGGGGAGAGTGAGAAAACTCAGCGAGAAATCAACTTTTTCACGGTTCTTCAAGGAAATCAGAAACGTAAATATCCTCAGGCAGGAGGAAGTGACAGCCAGAGGCCGAGCGTGTCTAAACCTGATGTGCCAAACTCGGTGCATGAGAAGCTCCACAAGCCCTCTCCGTGTGCAGAAAGACCCCAAAAATCCCCCCGTGGTCTGGGCTGAGCCCCCAGCGTGGGTAAAAGGGGACAGGGGGATTTTGAGACCCCAACTGCAGAGCTGTCCTGGCCCTGGCCTTACCAAGCCCTGTTTAACCTGGCCTTACCAAGCCCTGTT